ACGAGCAGTAAACTGCGTCGAATTTTACTTCTCGGGTCTTGTCTCGCAAAAAGAAACATACCCATTTGCAACAAATACACGGCTACCATGAGTCGGATGAACAAAAGTCTCGGTGGTGGCGGAGGTTTTAAAGATGATTCTGGCGCTGCAATGGCCCCACTATCTCTCCTCTCGTCGACGTCAGGCGCACCTCGAGTATGTAAATTCTGCAGTAGAGAGTCTGTGGCTTGATCTCCACCTCTGTGTTTGTTTGAGTTAAAATAGTGGCCGGTTCCCTGTACTTTATCCACCATGGCTGCCCATGTATTGAACACCAAGAGGAATACTCCGCCCAGTACCAACGACGCTGAGGCACCCAATACTTGCCAAAGGAATACCAGTTGCAGATACGACAAATGCAGGTGTGCTGCGTCGTGATCCAATAGTCCATGGGAGTGTGACTGATATAGAGCTAGCATCCATAGGGCCACGAGGATGAAGGCCGCGGCCCGCAACGATGTCCCGAGGACCAACAGCCCATAGAGTCGCACAGCCGTGTAATCTCTTCGCCAAGTCCGCATCAAACGACGACTGGCCACGAACCCTGGGATCAGGAACAACACTCCACACGAATACACGCTGGCGTACATGAGGTACACGAAGGATGAGGAGGTGGCCGACGGCATGGCCGACTCGGCCGACGCAGCGGAAGAGTCCATGAGAGGACGCGAAGATCGGATTCTGACGTATTTAATTTTTGGCTAAAACAATTTTTGCCAAAAAGTATGATGTGGCTCCAAAACCGCATTGTTTATGTTTAAGAGATCCTGTGTAGATGCAGATTTTTGCTCGACGAACTTCCGAATTTCGGAGTGTGGAATCGTGCGGACTCGACTGCTGTTGACGTGGCATCGAGCGTTTGTGGCGATTCGATGGAGCGAATGCGATGGATGCGGACCCATGAGCGACGGCTGGACTTAGCCGCAAACTGTATGGACCCCTTGTCTTGTGAATTTCTTTCGCTGTTGTAAAGGCCGGAATGAGTATCCAGTAAAGGGAGGATTCCCGATCGTGGTCCGACACGGTGGACCGAAATGGGAAAGGTGTCAGCAGCAAATTGCAGTGGTCGTCTTGCTAAAAAAAAATAATAAAAAAAACTATTCGAGTGATCTTCTCGGTGTGGGATCGCTTTTCGAAGCCAGCGTGACGCCAGCGGAGGGATCCGATACAATGTACGTAGTTACTGCAGCGTCTGCCGGGAGAAGAGGCGGTAGAGTGCATGGCCGGCAGTGCACAGGGATAAATCAAACAAGAGCTCAGCTCCAAAGCGGACGAGTCGTCGTCAACTGTCGTTCCGCCCAGCTCGCGTGATGAGCTTTTCTGATGCAAGTCTGGCGCCACTCAAGCGATGGCTTGCAACTTTGTACTACTGCGTTCGATCCTCACGAAGTGCCTTCGAAGAACTTCAAAAGGACCAGCTGAAAAAGAAATGAGAGGAGTTGGTGGCGTTGCAATCCCCAGTTTTGCCAACGGCTTCAATCAGTGGGGGGATCTCCAAACAGTTTGAAAAAAAACTTTATACAAAATCCAAGTCATAGATTTCTGATCCGTCGGCCTCGCTATGCATCACAGCATATGATGTTCTACAGCCATACAACATTCGATTTTCGCCCTTTCTTCAACCAATGAAATCGCTTCGAATATCTGGT